GTATTTGAATAGAACATGCGGCAACGATTAGATAATTCTTCAAATGATATAAATTTTGTGCATTCTGAGTTATAATATGAGCGCTATTAAACGCTATTAACGCTATTAAGTGAACCTAGCGCCAGAGTGTCGCTATGCTAAACAAATATAGTGAATTTTAAAGAGGGCATTAATTCTCTTGTGGTTTGTGCGCTATGGAAAGTAGATTTAATTCAATCCAATAAGTTTAAATGAAATGCAAAAAAAAAAAAAATCGTATAATTTAATATTCCGTACAAGGAAGTCATTGTAGGGAATGTTAAATTGCACTACTGTTGCCAATGTTAAAAACAAAATGTCTATTCTTTTTTTGTGTGTGTTGACGCTATTTTTAACAGTCCTATCGAGGTATTCCCGTACTATGCTGCTAAAATCTGCAGAAGCTCCACCATGCTAAAACCAGATGTTCCGACGTGTAATTGCTGGAACGTCAACCATCAAATCCGGAAATACTCTTCCCACAAAATGCCCATAAAGAACTTAGTATGCAGATTTATCTTTCTCCAGCAGGCTCTTCGCCTAAAATGATCATTCTTACCACTTTCCTAAAAGCCTGTGAACATTGTCTTCTAGTAGACACTATTAATTTTCACTATTAATTTCTAGATAGCGATTTAAACATTTATATATTATACTTACGGTAAAATCCCGGTAGTTTTCAAGTTTGTTCCTTTATATTTAGAAAAGGGTAAATATGCAAAGGAAACCTATGGATAATGACAACACTTCATCAGTGAAATATGTATAATTTTTAATCCAATAATTTTCTTCTAAAGGATCATAAATATTACAGTCAAATTACTCCATCACTGGAACACTAGGTCGTTAAGGTTGGAAGATATGGCAATATATAAGATGTTCTCTGATACGGAAATCTGAATAATATAGAAGAAATGACTAAGTTCCTTTAGACTATTCACTCGGGAAGAAGTTCTGGAATAATCATGAGATTTTAGTGATTCATTTCTTAGCTTCGCTGACAGCATAAAGTTTTCTATACCAGTCGCCATAGCTTTTGCCGCTGATACCCAGTAGCGAAGGCACATGTAATCTTCTGCAGCAAGCATATTTTCTAATATTGAATATGAAGATAGATGGAAACAATATGTTTATATCTGATTCAAAAAGCTTTTTGCTGTTATCATTTTTTTTTTATTTTCCAGTTCAAATCAATATATACACATTCATATCTCTAATTAGTATCCAAATCATTGCTAAAAATGCTTCAAGATATAAAAGCACAGTTAGCTGATTCTCTACATATCCATGCTAAGTTTGTAGAGTCATTAGGGTTTTCTCTGAATATAGGAACGAGAAATATGTGCAGAAAAAAGCAGGAAATATGAAACATGAGCAATGCCCTAGCCGGGGCTCGAACCTGGACCTCTCGAATACGCACCGAGTGTGTTACCGTGTAGGGTTTATATTTATTTTAACTAACATTTATTTTAAGTTTAAACTATCTTTCCTGTCAAGCCTTACTTTCCCCTGGAACTGCCAATGCCAGAATATGTAAATTTGAGTAGAACGCGCAAGCATTCAAATTATCAGCGGAAGTAGTATGGTTTAAATAGAAGGAAACGAGTTCGGTGAGAGAGTTATTCTTACTTAGCGAGCGCGGAGGTAGAAATCGAGAATAGAAGAACCCCGCGTTGCGGCCTATGTGCTTGGCGGGAAGTAGTTGCAATTGTTCCAGTGAGCTTCAAGTCTGCTGAAGTAGCTGCGGTATTTGTAAAACGCGGTGAGTTAGTTATTTTAGAGAGCCTCGTAGTTAGAATATTGTCTTTACTTTCTTTTCAGGTTTTTATTTTTATTTGACTGCCTAGTTGGTACAGTTTGTAAGCGTCAAGAGGACGCAATTATAATTTAGTACGTTGAATAAAAAGGGACTTAAACCCTTTATAAGACTCTGTGGTTTATACAAACTTTCACAGTCACCTCTAGGTTGCGTGCTAGTTAGAGGCGCGCAACGTTATAACCGTTACACCACGAAAGCAGCCTAGAAGTAGGGAGAAAATACCTTATATACTTCCCCTTTTAACTCTTTCGCATCGAGAGACGACCAAATCTGTTTCCAACAAACATCGAAAACGCCCGTGTTTACGAATTTGTCTTGGAATAGTTTTTCTTTCCCCCTTTTGCGGTTTCATCCATTCATCCATTGTGCGCAGTTTCACCTTAGGGCCGGATTGCACCTGCGAACGTCAATAGCTTTCCGTATTTCTCCTTTATTTGCTTCAAAAAGAATGATTGACATGTCTTTTAACAACTCGCGAAACCAATGAGCCATACACTAACGTGGAGGGGAAAGAACTAGGTAGAAAATAAACGAGGCGTTCGGGCGGTTTGCCGTTGCCTGAATGAATGGGCGCTACGGGCGATTTCGATGCGAAAGAGTTAAAGAACAATTCTGAATTAGGGAACCCAATCGGCAAATCCTAATGGTAGCGAATCCACCTCCTTTTAGTTCGGACTCCACTTTACAGTCATTAGTATATTTTGAAGCAGGAGATATGAAAAATGAGCAATGCCCTCGTCGAGACTCGAACCTGGACCTGTTGAATACGTGCAGAGTGAGCTACCGTTAAACGACGAAGTCATGCTGGAGGAGGGAGACATACCTTATAAGTTCATGCACACTAGTACTCATTTACCATTATAATGAAATTCTCACAATTTCTTGTACAGGATCGTTCCTAGGCCATTGGCTGCCCACCTTCTTTCCTATGTTTGCCACTTTAAAATTTAAAAACAAATGCTCAATAATTAATAAAACTTTTAACTAAGTACTTACATATAAACTAAGTACTTACATATGACAAATTTATAAAACGTACTTACATATGACAAGTACTTACAATGAATTTAAAATATTTAGGCGTGGTATTGCGCTTCAGCCGCTTCTGAGTTTAGTCGCCCGTGTACTTTATATGCCCTGCACCCCCGCTAGGAACGTCCATGTCCCTGTAATTTAACGACCTCATGTGGCAGATTGCCTACATTTTCCACATGTGCATTATCGTGTTTAATACACAGGTTTATGTGCTTCCGAACCATTTGTGACATACCTTTTAGCATTCCAAGATGACCGAACTAAGCATCTATCGGACTACGTGTTTCACTTAGACAGCTGAACAAATGTGTTTCATAACACGTTGCCACTTGAAGCAACTTATTTTGTTTTCATGACTTTAACCCAGGGGTCCCCAACTATTTTGTCCCTAAGAACGTATTCTACAATATCCGTCGTTGGACGGCGAGCCTTATTTACTTCCTCAAGGTGAATTTATATTTGAACAGAGTTAATAATACATACATATAAAAAAGAGATCGGTCGCGTTTCGCTTTCTGCTGATATCTGTGTTAGACGCAATTTCTATTTCATTAAAAATGAGAAAACTTTCACGTAGAATTTTATTGAGGACTAAAATATTTTTATTGTGATCGCACAGCGGCGATAAACGATCGGCGAGTGCCATGGTGCTCGCAGATATTTGGGCTTACTGTATGTTCAGTTATGTAAATCTTTGCATTTGTTATTAACTACAACCCAATTACCTATAATTATATAACCCACTTTAAAAATTCAAAACAAATGAACTACACAACCAATAGTGAATTTTATTATACTGAAATATAGATAAAAAGATAAAAAGTTTTTTGCATATGTATTTTGCAAATGCTGGATATATCCATCTTTCTTGATGCCGTAGACATCTATGCAATATTTCATGTAGTCCTACTAATGCCAGTGTACCTTGACATCCTAGCGCCAGTGTATCTTGACTGAGGATTAGTGAAGAGTGAAGACACAGTGCTTTTAACACCTCCACAAATCATGTGGAATTAAGACCGAAGACCCTTGTTACCCCTACTTTAGAAAAATCATCTTCTTGGCTGGCTTATCCTCTCCTCTTTAATCACAAAGTTCAAGTATGAAACATTCTGACATGGTTTCTATCTTGAGGCAGATGTTGTCTGAGTTGCTGTTGAAAATAGTCTCTGTTTTAGCGATTGAGAGAATTGTTCTGAAGAAAGATATAATCAAGGTAGTTGACATTAAACTGTGACTAATTTCCAATATATCTAAGCAAATCCTGCCGCTGAGTGACAGATACCCACATCGGTGCGAAAGCTGGATACGTTCAATCGCTGAATGAAATACATAAAAAAGTGCTTAATGATTTTACCTTTATTTTAGTGCAATAAAATTTAATATCACTGGCTTTAATTTTTAAAATGAAGCGAATTGTCCCTCATTCAGGTTGCGTTTTCGCTTTTTAATACGCAAATTTTACACAATTTCCTGAAATGACACTGATTAAGAGAAATGCACCACTAGTCAAGTTAAAGAAAATTTTGCTAGCGCTCGTGTTAAACTTATAAATTAGGTTACTATTTTTGGCATTACATTGATTTAGAAGAAAGTTTCCCTCCTTTGTGTCACCCCTTCAGCTTAGAGCTGTACGTCTTGTAACAGAAAAATCAAACCCAGCTCTCATCTCAAATGTTCAGCATTTTTTATCGCTTTTCAAACTCGATACCTGAAACAGAATTACAACCGGTGCAAACTCAAGGCAGTGTTCTATTTCGATTTGGTTCAGCCCCATCGAACGATCGATGCTACTCTTCGCATCTGTTCTGCGTTGAAAGTTCCGATAAAATTATTCTTTTCTTAAGAATGTCAAACTCTCTCCGATTTCCCAGTTAGATTCTTTTTATTTTCAGAAAAAGAGTCGATTCAAAAATGTAGTGTGGCTTAAAACTAACAAATGAGCTTACACAGAAAGTTAAACAATAAAAATTTAAAAAAAATACAATTCAGAATTTGATATCTATGAATTACTTCACTGAAGAGATTAATTTAACTAATTTGCTTTTTAAGAAAGATGTAATTAAAATTACTTGTAGCCTAAAACTGCAAAATTAAGATTTTTAAAACTATTTTTTTATCTTTCCAGACGCAGTTGCTTCTGAATGCACAAATGAGTAAGTATATTTAAAATATTTTCCGTTACAATGTATGCATATATATATATATATATATATATATATATATGAAGAGAGAGAGTTCTTTTTATTTTTTCTAATTTTTCATTTTATTATTTTAGTTTTTAAATGGGATAGTATTTAAATATCAAATATTTACAATCGACGAAAAAAAATTTAAAAAGTTAATTTATGAAGACACTGAATATATGTGCAATAATACACGTTCAGAGTGTAGATGCTTAAATTTTCATTAATGTTTTGTATTATAAAAGGTTGTATTTTTCATTTATTTTAATGTCATTATGTCATATTTACTTCCGAGAGTACTGTTGTAAATGCCCAATCATAAAATAGGAAGTAAATCAGTACATAAATAATACAAAATCTTCTGTAGAATTACGTATTATTTGTAGAAAATGAATTTAGTTGCTGAAACTTCAGTATATAGAGCAATAATTATTTTTTTTATCTACGTATATTTACTTTCATCTTTGACAGACTTATTAAGATAACTTCATATAAGTTATAGTATTCCTCACTTTGTAAAGGCTAAGTTGCTGTTGAACGTGAAGAATCTTAAGAACTGTTAAGCGAATAATCGCTTGAGTTCGTGTGACAAGAAACAACAAGATGGAAGGGTAAATAACCCTTTATTATACAAATAAGATTTAACAGAACTCCGTCTTGGAATGTACAATAAAAGCCGACACTTGGGCTTGAACCTAAGAGGCTACGAAGTAAACTAAAACTAATCTAAAGAGATATAGCTGAAGCTATCAAGATTCTAACCGAGTTGGCCTCTTAAAGCTAACTGACTGCGAATCTATCAAGGGCCTGAGTACGGCCGAGCGTAATAACAGCTTTGAGAGAGAGTAGCCAAAAGGTGGCGCGCGCTAATCAGAAACTCTGATTCTCTCTAACTCAGCAAGTAGAACTCCGCGGTTAAATACCGCTCATCCTCATTGTATATTCAGACATGATTCTAAAACTACGTTCTGGCTGGAAGTAGTAAGTTGAAGTTAAGAATGTAACAGGAAAGGATTTTAACTCAAAATTTAACTGTTAATAAAATTAACATAATTCTTACAAAGTATATTATTAAGTTTTTAGTTTATATATGCTCATTATAGATATCTATACATAAATAAGCAATATATGCTTAAAGGTTCTTCTCAAAGTTCCCATGAAACGTTTTATCCAAGTATTATAAGCAGAACTTTAGACTGAAATACGTCAATTCATTTTGAACAGTTAAAAATCACATTTTACAAATTATTATTGGAATAATACAAGATCATTGAAATGAAAGTTTAGATTTAAAAACTCAGCTATAATTGCACAAAATTATGTCGTTGAACATATCAAAATGATTCAAATATTAAAATGCTAACAAATGTCTAAAATGTGTTCTCTTACGTTAATAAGTTTCGGTTATGCTCTTTGTCCCCGCTGAGCTACAAACCACTATTTGTGACTTCCTGTCATTTCCGCTGACCTATAAATGTAAAAACTATGACATTATTATAACTAAAGATTTTCCAGTTCTCATTAATTACCAATTTACAATATACTTTATTCTGCTTCAGATAAATTACTCTCTAATTACTTACAGCGTTAACTAATTACCGCGTTAATTAATTACCCCTATAACTAATTACCACGTTACCGCGAAACGCAAGTATTATATAGGAACCAGGTTTTTGGATAACTAGTATACTTATAAAAATTTTTAAGGTAACCATGGAATAAATAAAATTTGTATCTGAAAAAATATAATACCTTTTAAAACCAATTATGACTAAAATATGTTCAATTATGCTTAAAACATGTTCAATTATGAATAAAACATAATATGATCTACAAGTGTAGTTTATATTTCAAGATTAAGTTCTCTAATTGTTTCACGGATTAAATTCTTACAGGTTGCTTGTTAAAAGTGTAATCTTCACTAGCATTTTAAGATGATACTGATTAACAATTTGAATAACTCTATAAGGCTTTGAAATCAACAGGGTGATACAAAACGTATCGTTCAAATTTCGAGGAAAGGTAGACGTCAAAAAACCGATTTCTCATAGGCAAGTATGTCTGCAAATGTAGGCGAGCGCGCTGTGTGTACCCAACCAGTATACATCTCACCCGACCACTCCCGCTATCATCAGTGCATTAGCTGACTTACTAGTGATAAAATGAATCGTTTTACGTATCAAGAGCTAGCAGATATGCATTTCGCATATGGGGCAGCTGACGAAAGCGGTCGCCGAGCTAGGCAAGTTTACGAAGACCAATACCCCCACAGAAAAATACTGCAGCATCAAATGTTTGCACGTATACATCACATTCTGTCAGAATGTGGTTCACTGGGCAGCAGCATGCAGGATACGGGAAGAAGACGACTGACGCGGACTGTCCACATGGCGGAACATATCCTACAGCCCATCGCTGATAATCCAAATAACAACACATGAGCTGATGCTCAGTAGCTTGGGATCTCTCAGTCAACAGTTTGTCGGATACTGCACGAGGAGAGTGAGCATCCGTACCATCTGTAAAGGGTGCAGTTACTGCATTCTAATGAATCCGAAGCGTGTGGAATTTTCACAAGGGTTCATGCAGAAAGTTGCCGTGGACCTCAGTTTTCCAATTTCTGTCCTTTTTACAGACGAAGCTTCATTCACATGCGAAGGTGATTTTAATACACACAATTCTGTCTGGGCATGTCTGGGCTTACGAAAACTCGCATGGTATGAGAAGTCACGCTGCGAAACATCGTTTCGAAGTAAATGTATACGCTGGAAGCATTGGTGAGTTTGCTGGGACCTTACTTGCTACCTCCCCGATTAAACGGCCGGAAATACCTGATCTTTCTTGAGACAGTGTTCCCGACTTTCCTAGTCGCTATTGCTGCGCGTATCCTCCGAGATATGTGGTATATGGGGTTTCAGCCCATTTCAGAATTGTTGTGAAATAAATGTCATAGTCTTTATCACTGAACAGTACTATTTTCTATGTTAACTTTACTTGTCCATTTTGTTCATGTAAATGACGTTTGCAGACATACTTTCCTATGTGAAATCGGTTTCTTGATGTCTTCCCTATCTTCCCACGAAATTTGAACGATATGTTTTGAAGCTCTCTGTATAAAAGTAAATATATTATTTTTTAAAGCAGATATTTTTCGTAACTTTCAAGATAGGAAAAAAACAGTCAGAAGCTAAAAATTACTAGAATATTCCTGAGACAATGGTCACAACTTATGTAAGGGATAAAGCTATTATCATCCTGAATCTTCCAATGAACGTTTCGGAAAAGAGATTAAGAGCGTCTAGTTTTAAATACGCTGAAGACGCTATGCCGTTATGAAGTTAATCCTTTTGTTGGTGCCCATATTGCAAGAAATGGTAATGGGCGAAATTTATGACAAATCTACAGTCTATCAAAAAAACTTCCTTGCGAAGAAAACCAAGCAAATAAAAACGTTGAAGATGCTGTGCTGCTCCGAAATTAATCCTTGTGTGGGCTCTATTGCAAGAAATGGGAATGGATGAAATTTCTAAAAAATCACAATTTGTCAGAAAACCTGCACATAAAGAAAGCCAAGCAAATAAAAGATGGTTTGTGCAATTTAATTGTGCAATTTAACCAGTTATATCAAATCGTTTCTGCTGGGGAAAAGTAACTAACCTACCAAAGACCGAAAAAAGTGTCTTGTGAAAGAGTAATAGCGCGCATTCGCGTTTCTGTTGTTTTTAACTGTGATAAAAGAGTTTTTATTTTATCGTGACCTCTCATAAATTGATTCAACTTTCAAAACGTACTCAGCCGAAAACAGTGTAAAGAAAGGTTAAAAAATTATGCACTGTTCTAATAGGGATTATGCAGATTAAATATAGCTTACAGTATTAGAAAAAATGAATCCGAAGTGCTTTCGAGATAACAAGTTTTTAACAACGAATTGTGAGGTGAATTCGATAACCAGCTTGCTATTTGAGAAAATAATATTTAAATTTAAAATACTCGGGAATTCGTAAAGTTTTGTTCATTTTAGATTTTAGTCAACTGCATTATTCACAAGGTTAGGGAGAAAAATCTTCCTTCTATTACATTATACTTCTTTCCTTTAAACTTAAGCCCAGCATTCCACTTCTTAGAGTATAGTTAGATTATCTCAATACAGGAAATCCTGCGAGCACTATCTTCTAAGTGGACATGCCTATGTGGAGGATTTTTTAAGATAGATAACCTGGCTGTTGTTCTAATTACTCATAGGAAAAATCACAAAAAGGGCCTATTATAGGTCATTGGCCTGGTACAACAGCAGCAGTAGTTATTCAAACTATTCGTTTATTTAGTTATTTGAGCTACTAGTATTCAGAGGTTTTAATCATTTGGCCGTTGATGGTGATAAAGACTAGGGAGATATAAAAATTCTAAAAGTGTTTTATCGGAAGTGTCTCATTCAGAAATTCATTCACAATGATTTTAGACAGAAATTTATGCTTTTCAAGCAATCGTAATGGTTGATGCAGTTTGGAAACTGGGAAGTGATTGTTTCAGATGCTGGATTTGCATTTAATGAAACTGGGACAGGAAATGCCGTCAGAAGTGAGGAGATGATTTATCTTTCAGGTATTGACATAAGTAATGAAGCATGGTAGGTGTTCAACGTAATTGATTAAAAATTTTTCAACGTTCAGATATTTAGAAGATTACATTTTAGAAAGTGTGTATGCATTACCTGGAAAATTAGAAAATATAATTTATACTGATACTTGAAAGATTTTCAAGTATCAGTATTTCGCGTGAAACTACATGTCGTCCGACCTATGTCATTTCAGCTGAAATGATTGCGACTTTGCGAGTTGGACAAGTCAAAGAATATTCTTTGGCATTTGATGAAAGTACAGATATCTCAGATATATCTTAACATGTGATATTTATTCGCTTTGTAAATGATTCACTCCAAGTGGCAGAAGGAATGTAAAATCTTTTTAATT